ATCTCAACTCAGTTTTTCTTCCACCTCCTTTTCTGAACATTCTTCCCAACTAAGCCCTGCTTTGCAAGTATCCGTATCTTTCCTTCAAATGATTTTCTCTTCTTGAGAGGGCTTTGTCGTCTCCCTTTTATCACTCAGCAAATATCTGTTCTTTTTCAATCCCTGATGATGCCTTTGTTGGCTCCTCAGTGGCATAGAAAATCTTTTTGGCATCTATCATAGCACATACTTTCAGGTATTGCATTATTTGTTTATTTATGTGTCTGCCTTTGTTATTGTTGTTGTTTTTGAGATTGCAGTTTAGTTTATGATGCCTAAACTCAACTGAGCCTCTAGTTGGTATGTTATGAACAAAAGAATAAATGAACGTACTTTAGTTCTTAATCCTTGAAAGCAAGATGTCAGGTTGAGACAAGTAGCTAAATAATTCCAAAGAAACATTTACTTTTCTTTCGACTCTTCAACAAAATTGGACATCTTTCCCATCAGTAAATCAATTTGTGATCTTTTTCTTAAGAAGAAACAGCACTTTTTCAGCAATATAGGATAAACACACTAAAAAAAAATTGGTAGACTTCTCAAAGAAGTTTAATGTTTAAAAAAAAAGTGCCAATATTTTGTCTACGTGCATGAGCATCTCAGGATTTAATTGTTTTTAATTCCAGGAGGGTAGTGATGTATAAACATTTTACAAATCTGAGCTCAGAAAACAATGGATTTGAATAATCTGTGCTTTAATGGAAAAATGAAACATTAATTTGTTTAGTTTCTCATACAACATGTTTACTAAACATTTCAGTGTCAATAATTTTTTAAGATTGTAACATTTAACCTTGTATTGGAGCTAATACCAATTCTAGCCATGGGAGTATGTTCTGGACTTTTTGAACAATTTTGAGTAAAATGAATGGCATTGTCTTCAAATTGTACTTGGAGCAAAGACAAAGAAACATCAGCTCATTCTTTCCAACTAATAGAACATTTAATGATGCAATTTTTATTACATTATTTTAAGGCTATTATCATAACGTTAAATATTCTTATTTTTGCTTCCATCTGTTACTAAAGCTCAATATATCATTTCCGAACATTATTAATTTTCACTTAACTTAGATTTAAATATTGAATTTTTAACTTGGGCTCCAGGAAAAATCCTGAAAAATAAAGATCAGCATCTAGCATCCTTTTCCTAAGCTTTCACCACAGATTCTCAATTTGATAGGACTTATCATGAAATCTGTATTGGGAAGTATAGCTTTTTAAGATAACTTTTTGTAACTAAAAAATATTTTCCTGCGCATCACAAGGGGGATTAAAAATCACCGAAGTACCGAAGGAACGTGTGCTTTGATTATTATTCCCACCTGTTTCTTTTTTATTATAAAGTGGCAATTTGTACTATCATTAGAAATATACATTAATGTATAAAGTTTTGCATTCAAATCTCTTTATTTTTGACTATGTATGACTAGAGACCACAAATCAAATAAAAACTCTATATAATATATCCTTATTTCAGAAGCGTATGTATATATACACATATATATTTGTAGAACAATCCACTGTTTTAAATGTAATTTTGACTTAAAAAATGCTATTTACAGTTTTATGACAGAGAAATAACCTCAGCCTTTCATGGTATTAAAATGAGCAGGGAATTTTTATGTTTGCGTCTCATCTTGTGCAGATGAAATTAAGCAATATCATGGAAAACCTTCTCAAGAGCAAGGCCTTGTAGACTAAGGTATGAGGGTGAAATAGATTTGCTATTTCTGGGTCTATGTTTTAAAAAAATTACTGGCAATGTAGTCATACTTACTTCTTCACCAAGAAATCAATGCTCCCAAATTAGGAATTCCAAACTTTTCAGTATGCAACCTTTAAGTCTTTCCTTGTCCTTACTCTTGTCTTAATACTCTCATCTCCCAGTGGTGACACTGCAGGACCACCAATCTAGATATTAGATTGTTGTTATTTTATTAAACAGAAGAGTCTTAGTTCTTTTAAACCAGCTTTCTGAATTAGAATGAGGCCCATAAAGCATCACATTGCATTACATTGATATCTCTTTATTGCACCAATCCATAATGGCTAAAAATATGCTATTAAATTTGTATGTAAATTTCAAAGCCAAAACTATTATTATGAGAATAGGATGGCTTGCTGCCCTCCAATTTGCAGAAGCACAAAAGTCTCTGAATTAGCAAATGGAACTTCAGCTCCATTTGTTTCTATACTTTATTCTCCGAGCTTACAAATCAAGTAAGGTATATTGACCAGAAAGCTATTTTGTGAGACGCTCAAAAGTTTTGTTTTCATTCTTAAGCTCGTTGATTTTGAAACGTATTCCAATAAGAACTCAGGATAAACATATCCTAATTTATATCTGCACAGCCAATTGCAAAGCATTACTAAAAGTCATATTTTTCCTGGGAAAAATCCCAATGCAACTCAAAAAATAAAACTTATTTTACTTAAAAAGGAATAGGTGATGAATGAATTGAAGACCCAGAAATCAGAACAATGAAAATCAAAGAAGTATTATACTTGAAATATGCCTGAAAAACAAAGTACTTAAACTCAATCAGATTTTTGGATGAAGTTGGATATTACATGTTTATACATGGTAATATTTTTAAAACCTCAGTGACTACTGGTTTATTCTATTAAAGGTTTTATGTACTTAAGACATAAGCAGCAGTTAAGCTAACATTCACCCTTTGATCTAAGCTACATTTTTTTTGTCAGGTTTATGTATAAAAGAAACAAGGTTTCCAATTAATTCTCTGAACTAAACTGGAAATAAGACAAAGCTAATTTCCAAAACATTTTACTGCAGTGAACATTTGCTTAACATAATACAGAGAAAAACAATATACAAATTGGGTGGTTAGAATTCTTTCTTAACTGCTATCAGGAAGGAGATAAATGTGAGTCTAGATGATAAATGATGAATAGCCACGGAAAATAGAGGGAGGAATTTTGTTAGTGATTCATATCTCTATTTTTTTCATAACCAACTTAATTAAATATATTTTGTCATGAAATCACCATTGTGATTGATTTTTTATGAATTTCATCAATTGTATTATTTGTGAAACCATCAATTGTTTCACTGATGAATGTGTACCTGTGTGTATCACCACAAAAGCTCAAGTCATTTCATGCTAAGAGAGCCAGTGTCCCATAGTGTTGAGGTTTCTTTTTAATTTTTTTCAAATAAAATAAACTTTGTGTTTGGGATTTTTTCTTTTTTCTTTTTTTTGGTTCTGGTAGTGACAGGTGTATTTATAATCAAGTTGAATCAAGAGTGACAAGAAGAAATACAGCTAGAGTTATATTTTTTCCCCCAAGGGTATTCTTTTCCTAGAAGAGCAAGTCCATTTTTAGAAAATTTAAATGTCTTTCTTTGTTACTTTCCAAATATTTTGGTTAAACAAATATCTCTTACAAATGTATCTTCAAAATCTTTGCCTAGATGCATAACATTTGTTCTTCCCAACTGCTTAGGTAAATTCCTTCATTTCATTTTGTGCTAACCTCTAGATAACATAAATAGGATACTTGGTGAAGGATATGATCCACTATTGAAGAATAATGATTGTGTAAAGTGAGGGAAACTATGTTGACCTTGAAATACGGCAACCAATGGCAAGGTTTGAGGTGAGGGCCTAGAGCTTCTGCAAAGTGTATATATTTAGGGAGTCGTATTTGGAACAATACATGCTGGACAGTAGAGATATAGGAGAAGTTACATGCTATGTCTTCTCATTGGTAATATCCATAAATCTGCATACATTTTTTAACATTCTGTTTTGTGTGGTTTTTTTCTTTAAATTTGGATGTCTCTACACCACTCCTGATTTGTAGGACTAAATAGATCTATTTATTCCAATGCAAATTATAGAACATTTATTGCTTCCTTGATTTTTTTTTTATTATTATTATGCTTCCTTGATTTTTAAAAATACTTTAGTATTCTTAACTATGTATGTGCCTTCTCTTACACTGAGTTCTTTTTTGCTACTTTAAGCTGCTCACACAATCCTGTCTGTTGGAGTCATAGCTGCTAATTCCATATTATTTCTCTACACCCCTTGAAAATTTAGTGTATTACTGGTACCTTTCTGTGTTCTAGGAAACAAACGAATTGCAAACTGGACTTGTAAATGAGGATATATGTGTGCGTGTGTGTGTGTGTGTGTGTGTGTGTGTGTGTGTATAGCAACAAATTAGCTACTGGCTTCATAAGATAGTAAGTTAGGAATTTCACAGTCATGTCTCCAAATTTCATGGCAGAGTTTAAAAAACAATATAAGACTGTGGTAAGGTACAAAGGCAAATGCAATTTGCATTGACTAATTTCCTAGGACTTATTTCCTTATGTAAAACCCCTCTTCTTTCTTTCCTGTTGCAAGACAGGATACAAAGCTTTCTAAAACATGCACTTATACTCAAAGGTGTCCACAAAGCAAAAAATCAGACCAAATGCCAACAGCAAGTAACTTATATCTTACCACCTAGACATGGCACTGGCAAAGAATTCCCAAAAGTCACTTCAGCATTAGAACAGTAACTTTTTTTCCTAAATTACTGAAAAAAAACCCAAAAAACAAAAAACTTCTGAAATAATATCTTTGATAAAAATATTATACTCTAGGATAATTTGAAATTATTTTTACGAAATAATTAAATTCATTAAGGCCTTTCGATTCAATACAAGACTTTCCTTTTACATAAGACAATCTTAAATTACATCTCAAAAATAATTTCTTACTCTTTTCTTGATGGTAAATGGTTTCTGGCTATATATTTTATAGGTATTAGAATAGTTTATAATTTGGAAATGTTCAATTCCATGGTTACAAAAAAATCCTGCAAACAGAATGTAATGGTGTGTCAATTCCAGATGCCCAAATAAAATACAAAATCAAGCAAAACCACACATCGCAGCATTATCATGAGTTTAAGCTATTTAGTATATAACATCAGTTTGTGAGTTCAGTTCTCCAAAACCCTTTCCTTTAAAGTAATAACTTTATTTCGTCTTTATTAATGTCTTCATTACAATTAGCCTTCTACGCATAACAATACAGTTTAATTTAATGTTTGTGGAGTTCTGATTTTATTTTTTCCTTTGCTTTTAAGTGTGTTAAACTTTGTGCATGTGAGTTTTCTACCACATTGCAACAAGCAAGCTTTGGTTCAATTTTCTTGTCCTACACAAAGGAAGATTTTGAGTGCAGAATCTTAGCCACTAGGTCTTGCGTTGTCATTTTATTTTCCTCTCCTTGGGTGGATTTACTGGAAGGAAATGGGTAAACGGGAGGGAAGAGAAGGGGAAGGGATGAGAGAGGGAAGCAGGGGAGAGTTCTCAGCTATGTTGAATCTTGATTCACAACTTTGCCTCCATTCATGGTGGGTGTTCCAGAACTTTTCCTTGAACGCCCTTGTTTTTCTCCAATTTCATGTAGTGATGGTTCTCTGTACATACACACTGAAAGGCAAAATAACAAAAAATTACTTACGATAGTGGATACACATTTGCTTCAATAAGCTTTTCAAATTTGGTTTTACGATATTCTTCACTCTCATCACAAGCTCTTCTTCCCATTATAAAAAACAGTTTTAACTTGATAACATATTCAGTGGATACACATAATTTTCTTCCAGTTCTTTTAGTCGTCACCTTTTAAACTTTTCTTGAACTATAGACATTTAAGTTGTTTCTGTTCTCTCATAGACAAGGCTTGAATCTTTACAGTTTCCTAACCTAGAAAACAGGATTTTCATCCAGAGTCAGAGGAGACATGGGAAATATTCCACTTTTTGGTCCTTAATCTGTAGTCTAATTTGGGTCGGTAAGAAAGTATTTATTTACGTGTTCCTAATCTTTACCCTACCATAGGAAATATGATGCCGTATCAAACCGAAATATGTATTGTCATTTCCAGGGCATCCTATGTAAAAAAAGAAGGGAGGACAAAGAAAAGGAAAAAAGAAGAAGCAATTTCCCCGACTGCCCTAGATTTACCCAAAGTAAGAAACACAGTCCGTGACTTCTTAGTCATTCATCAATAGGGAATGTGATTGTGCAAGCATGAGACTTCCGTTCACATCTACATAAACAGTTCTTTTCTCCTCTATTGTTTTGTCTGGCTGTAAAGTTCGGTCATCTGTGAGCCATCACGGCTATTCCTAGATAATTGTTTAGGAAGAACAATGCTTTCAAATTATAGTTATACCTACAAAACACATTAATTCAGCTTCATTATAGTGTTGTGAAATAGACAAATGTGACTAGATAAGAGTATATGATATGTCTTATGAAAATATCAGGAGTTACTTTTATCCTCGGCTTAGGAACAAACAGGTATCTCCACCTATTGAATCATCATTACAAAGGTTTAATAATTTGAATGTTACTTCCAACATCAAAGAGCCTCCTCCCTTGAACTTTCAGTGGTTACCGATTTGGGAACCATGCGACCTGGATCCACACCCAGACTCAGCTATCTACTAGGCTTGTTAAGTTGGACACATTTTCATAAATGAAAAATAGCATGTTTGTGAAGATTAAATGCCTTGCATAGAGCAAGTACCAAAAAATGTTTATGAAACGTAAGGAGCTGATTTCTTTGTGAGCATTTTGAATAACTGATCTTCAGAGAATATAGAAATAAATTGTTTTGGCTGAAAGTATTCTAAATCCAAAACTAGACTAAAACAGAATTTAGAGTACAAGTGAGAGTCTCCTGAGACTGGTGAGGAGACAGATTTCTTCCAACATATTCAATTATAGAACTTCTTAAATGTTACTGTACATGCGAATCACCTAGGAATATTGTTAAAACGCAGATAATGAATCAGAAGGATTGTAGTGAGCTTGAGTCTCCATTTTCAATAAGATCGCAGGTGATGTTGATGCTGATAAAACCCAGACTACACTATGAGTAGCAGAAAATACATGTATAAAATATGTGTGCTAAGGCTGTTACGCAAATTAGCCACATATATTTTAATGAGATTTTAAAGTATTTCAATTACCGCACTGATGGCTCTTCCAGCATCCCCAAAGGATTAAACGCCTTTGACTGAAGTAACAGAGTATACATAGGAAACCAGCTCAGAGAGTAGATATATAATTTTCAAATGATACAAGTAAGTCATTCAAGTTTGTCTTTCTTTTTCTTGTTTTGTTTCAATAAATAGAAGATCCTTATGGAAAATCTTGCCAGAATCTTGAAGTTCCCTAAGTCCAATGGCTCTTATCTCTCTTTCTATTATAAAAATAATTAAAAACTCCAAAATTAAGGCATAGTTTTTTATTTGTGCAAAATACAACCATTTACATGTAACTGCTCAATGCACAGGGAACATCAAGAAGCAACGAAGTGATTCAGCTGGAACGCTATTCATATGATACCATTAAATAGGTCTTCCCAACTCTGTCACCTAATCAGCTCTGCAAACTCAAACATCTGCAGGCCGCACTACAGATTGCTAAATCAGAATCTCAAAGAATTTACAAAAATCTCCTTTCTAAAAAATAATATATTTTGACCTGCAAATTCTTAAGCTTCATTTGGGGATACTTGAAGAATAAATTTTTTAATTTTCATTAAAGTGTGTATTTTTATCTTTTTTTTTTTTTTTTTTTTTGAGACGGAGTCTCGCTCTGTCGCCCAGGCTGGAGTGCAGTGGCGCGATCTCAGTTCACTGCAAGCTCTGCCTCCCGGGTTCCCGCCATTCTCCTGCCTCAGCCTCCCAAGTAGCTGGGACTACAGGCGCCCGCCACCTCGCCCGGCTAGTTTTTTGTATTTTTAGTAGAGACGGGGTTTCACCGTGTTAACCAGGATGGTCTCGATCTCCTGACCTCGTGATCCGCGCGTCTTGGCCTCCCAAAGTGCTGGGATTACAGGCTTGGGCCACCGCGCCTGGCCATTTTTATCATTTTTTTAGCTGAGTTTCTTAGAGTTGCAATTTCCTTTTTAGTTTTCTTATGCCACAGATTCTATCCAAAACATTCACTTGTATCTTTTTTTTTTCTTTCTCACTTGCACATAAAATGCTTCATTTGTGTCAGCACACAATGTTACTATTATAATGACTGCTGCAGATAACTTCTCCAGTACTTTAACCCTGCTGGCCATCCTTATATTGAGAGGTATTGCAAACTGACATCTGAAAATAGACAGTGTTTCAAAAAGACCCAAACTCATCAGTGCCACCGCAGGATGTACAATTTGCTCTTTTTCTCATACAACTCAATTTCTCATTTCCCAATCTTTGCACTAAATGGAGTAATAAAATTAAGGGTTTTGAAAACCTAGTTCATGTCCCAGTTAGAAAACGACAAGTAAAAGGTAGGTTTTCCAGTTCACTGATGAAAACTGCCCTCCTCCTCAATAAATCAAATAGGTATTTAAATTTCTATACTTCTGTTAGCCAAAATAAAAAGATGTTCAGAGAATGCACACTGAAGTTATTCTAGAAATTGCATGCAAATACAAGTACAGAGAGCAAAACCTTGGTCAAAGCAATAGATTAAATGTAATTTCTTGAGCATTAATTTTCATTGTTATTTACAGGACCTAGGATTCAGTAATACATCTGATTTAAGAAGCTGACAAGTAAAGGGGAATAAGTCTCAATCAAATTTCTGAATTACAATGTAATTAAAAGACCATAATCCAATTAGAAAGGCAAGAAAGAATAAAGTACCTCCCTTCAGTAATATAACTGACTTACTACCATCCATAGTTGCATTACACTTAATGACTGCTATTCTGAATGTACATGGTAAATAATGAAACAAAATTGAGGAAGAAAACAAGGCGTAAGTGTTCTTTAAAGTGGATTACATGTGCAAAATGTAAATGAAAATCACTGTGATGTATATAGCAGCCTCAATGATAAGTCCTTGAATAAATCTATCATTTCAGAGTAATCCAAGCAATTTTAAATTGATTAACTAAATTTTACAATTATAACAACCCAGTGAATATAGTAGGTGAGAAATTATCACCCTCATTTTTTAAATATAAAAGAAATTAAGCCACTTCCATAAAGTCAGATAGTGGGTAGTGGCAGGGCCAGGATGAATGTGTAGAGTTTCAAGGTCCTAGTTAAGAGTTTTGAATAAAATCAGAAATACCATAATTTATTCAATAAACAATGTAAAATGACTGACATATCAGTGTTTGAATTCTTACGTCTATATGTTAATCAAGATTTAAGTTGGCCTTAACTTCAGTAAATATTCCTAAAGTCATTCGGAAATGGTAATAAAAGAAAATGTATGTCTGTTATAAAAAAATCAAAAAAGAAAGTAACAAGAGTTGGTGAGTATGTGGAGAAATTGAAACCCTTATGCATTTCTACTTCAGTGTAAATTGGTGCAGCCACTGTGGAAAATGAAATGGTGACTCCTCAAAAAATTAAATATGGATGTACCATAGGATCCATCAATTCCACCTGTAGGTGTCCACTCAAAATAAATGAAAGCAGGGACCCCAGCATCTATCTGTACATCCATGTCCGTAGAAGGATTATTCACTCTAGCCAAAAGATGGAAGCACCAAAATGTCCATTGACAAATGAATGGGTATATATAATGAGGCCTATACATATAATGAAATATTATTCAGCCTTAAAAACAAAATTCTGACAAATACCACAACATGAATGAACCTTGAAGAAGTTGTGCTAGGTGAAATAAGCCAGTTACCAGGGGCCAAATATTGCGTGATTCCACTTCTGTGAGATACCTAGAGTAGTCAAGCTCACAGAGGCAGAAAATAGAACGGTATTTGCCAGGGGCTGGGGGAGAATGGGGATTTCACATTTAATGAGCACAGAGTTTCAGCTGGGGAAGATGAAAAAGTTCTGGAGTTGGATGATGGTGATGTTTGCACAACAATGTGAATGTACTTAACGGCAATGAAATATATACTTAAAAATGATTAAAATGGTAAATTTTGTATTATCATATTTTACCACAAATAAAAAGCAAACACACAAACAACTTGTCCTGAATTGTCTTGAGTATAAGGTATAAGAAATGACTACTAAAGCCAGAGGTGTTCTATTGGCATAGGAAGAACCAGCAATTCCCCAAAAATCAAAAACCTTAGTTTTAGAACTGTATTCAGGAAGAGAGAGTTGAGATATAATTGAGGAGGTACAGGGTGAGGAAAAGGATAGAGGAATCTGATGAAAATATTCTAGGACTGTGCTGCCTAGTATAGCATCCATTTAGCCATATGTGGCCACTGAGCACATACAATGTAGCTGGTCCTAATTCAGATGTGCTGTAAGTGCAAAAATAAACACTACCAGACTGGGTAAAACAGGGAGGTGATGACGAATAAGAAGGATACGGCTAGTTGGTGTCAGACTTTGCTGAATTCCAGGCCAGAAAATTTAAACCATGACCATCATATAGATCAGCCTCAATATGATGGTAAATGAGGAGTTAATATACTTGGTTAATTA